ATCTCAAACGAGACTTTTTAGGCCAAGTTTGGCATGCGACCAAAAAGCCAAAAAGTCAAAAAATTACTCAAAAAGTTAAAAAGTCATCACTATTCATCAAAAGTCAAAAAGTACGGCTGTACAACTCCCAATCCTAATTTTCTTTTACACACTAATTTATATAATTTTTTAATACACATTTTTTCATAAAAAGTCAAAAAGTTAACTCAAATAACCATATTTTTGTCTTAACTTTTTAGTCCAAAAAGTCAAAAAGTGCACTTACTTAAGATATCTCAGCCTCCGTTTGGGAAGTGGGTTGGTTTTTTGGCTTTTTGGCTTTTTTGGCTATTTTAGCCTGGGCTTAAAAGCTTGGTTTGGGAAGGACTTTTTGACTTTTTGGCTTTTTTGAGTTTTTTTGTGAGAGAAGAATGTAATGATTATGGGTTGGATGTGATGTTTTATTTGTTATGGCTAAAATAGCCTATTTTGTTTTTTATAGCTAAAATAGCCAAAAAAGCCCAAACCATGGCTTCCCAAACGAACAATCCAAAATAATCAAAAAATTAAAAAGTCAAAAAGTCAACCCATATCCAAACGAGGCAATAAAGAAATGATGTGGTAAATTTTTTAGTACAAACCTGTCTGGTTTAAAAATAATTTTTGAATTATCATGTTTTGTTATCTTTAGCTATAAGGCATGTTCATTTGGGCTAAAATAATCATATAGGATAAAACTGGCTATTTTAATCAAATAAAACAAAATATCATATTTAAATCATAATTATTTTATTTTTTTTCACTTATCCCAAATGAGACTTTTTAGCAACAGAATAAAATAGTCAAAAAACCAACCCACATCCCAAACGAAGGTTGTGTTGTAAAAAATAATCTAATTATCATGGAAAAATTAGTGAAACATCTATCTCCAATTTTGTGTAGTAAGAGAAGTCCAAGATATATTTTTTTTATTAGCTAATGTCTCTCAATATTTTCACAAAGAAAATTCGATAAAGAAAATTTGATTAAGAGAAATTTTGTCCAACTTAGAGAAATTTCATCAGACTCAGAAAAATTTATCCCCGATTCAGAGAAATTTCAATTTTCATAGAGAAATTTTTCTATATTTGAGTCAAATTTTCTCCATAAAAATGTTAAGGGATCTTTATCAAAAATTTTAAATTTTTTTTTCCTATTATTATATGTGCGAACCAAACCTAAATTTTGATTGATTTAAAATTCTAGAGCTCAAGTGATTAAAAGTAAAATTAATATATTTTTTAGATATAGTTATGCACTAATCAAATTATGTGTATTATTTTGCACCAGGATATGTCAATGTGTGGACAAAGTCTCGGTCCATAAGTCATCAGTGGATTAATTATACTTTTTATCTTTATAATTTGATCTAAATTTCATTTAGACTTTTTTTTTTTTAAGAAGGTGAAAAGAATTTTTTTAATTTTTAATCTCTTTTAGGTCATATAACTTACTTTTTATGTGTTTTCAAAAAAACTCAAAAAATCAAATTTTAACCAATTTTTCAAAACCACATTTAATTTTTATAGTTCTAATTTGAACAACTTGGTCTAGACATTTTAAGTTTATTTTCAATTCAGTTCTTTCGTCTAAATTAAATGTTAAAGTTAATAATTTTGAATCACTTGTTAATTTTCTAAAATATACGTAGACAAAATTAATAAGAAATTAAACGAAATGATAAAATTGAAACTAAACTTAAATTGTTAAATTGTAGAAATTAAAAATATAACGACCAAAGTAAAATTTTGATCAAATTAGAGGTGAAAAGTGTAATTAACCCTTCATGAGTAAGGTCTCGTTTGGCAAGTGACTTTTTTACCAAAAAGTCAAAAAGTCATTTTTTTAGCTAAAAAGTCAGCAACTTATACAAAAAAGTCAAAGATTTCTTTTTCTCTCTACTTTTTGCACATTTTTCATAAAAAATCAAAAAGTCATTCCAAACATATTAATTTTTTTTACATTATATTTTAGCTAAAAAGTCAAAAAATTCCAAAAAAAGCTGTTCAAAAACGAGCCATAAGTAATGAAATGAAACACATTTTTTTGGGTAGGTAAATCATATATTTTATATGAGAAAATTAAATGCTACAATAAAATTCATTACATACTTAAAGGTTAACACGCCGTTCAACAGAAAACAATCTTAACTAGGAGTGTGCAAAATACTGTCCAATCTACTAAAACCGCACTGATCCGCATCAATACGCACCAATCTAACCGCTAACTACAGTTTAAACTTTAAAATTTATAATCCGCCAACCGAACCGCGCCGCTCCGCTATAGTTAATACATATATATTTTTTAATTTTCAATGAAATATCAATGTAAAAATGAGTATGAGAGATATTTAAGATATGAAATTAATTACAAATTAGTGGTTATATATATAAAACATATTATGTAAAATAACTTTGTATTATATATCTAAAAAATATTATACAAATTAGTATTATATATTATGCAAATGTATGATAATTAACTAAAATATTCTTCAATTCGCCAATTCATCAAAAACTGCCCAAACCGCAATTTGTCAATCCGCTAATCCCCTAACCCGTCATTCGGTTTGTAATTTTATTCTCAAACCGTCTGAACCGCACAGTGCACACCCCTACTCTTAACTATTAACTCACAACATAATCTATTAAGACTTTGTTTGGCAATTAATTTTTTGGCTAAAAAAGTATAAAAGATAAAATATGTTAAACAAACTAATAAGAGAAAATATTACTTTCAAATTATAATCATTTCACTTTTTCTCACAAAAGTTAAAAAGACTTAAAAAATTAAATTAAGTGGTTATTTGGGTCACAATTATCTTATTTAAATCACATTATCTCTCTAGCACATTACTTTAAACTCAATCCATATTTCATATTTTTTCATAAAAAATTTAAAAATATATTAGTCTAGCATTTCCCAAACAATCTCTAAATAAACTTTTCGTATCAAGCTAAAATAACCAAAAAATTTAAAAATTAATTAAAAAAATCTATTACGACGGCTAAATAGATTTAAATAAAATAAAATAATATAACACATCAAACAAATAAATTTTAAATAAAGATCTGTGCTACGTAGCTTGAAAGAGAGGCCCCCGAATCCCCTCGAATTCAAAAATGATGTCGTTTCGTCGTTTTGAATTTTTTTTTTTTTTTTCAATCTTTTTTTTTTTTTTTTTCAATAAAAATTAATTAAAAAAATCTATTACGACGGCTAAATAGATTTAAATAAAATAAAATAATATAACACATCAAACAAATAAATTTTAAATAAAGATCTGTGCTACGTAGCTTGAAAGAGAGGCCCCCGAATCCCCTCGAATATTTTTTTTTTTTTTTTTCGTCGTTTTGAATTTTTTTTTTTTTTTTTCAATCAAAAAAGAAGAAGGAGGAAGAAGAAGAGAAGAAGAAGAAGAAAGAATAAGAAGGAGTAACATAGAGAAAGAGAGATAGAGAGATCGGAGGCGGAGGCAGAGCCGGAGGCGACGGCGGTCGGAGGCAGAGGCGAAGGCGAGACTACGACTAGCTACTGTGATGGGCTGCGACGATCGGCCGGTCGATCTGCGATTGATCGGCGGTGACGGCGAAAGCAGAGGAGGGGCCCTCTCTCTCTCTCCATTCCCTCTTCTCTTTCTTTCTTTTATCTGTTTTGGGCTGTTTGGGGGCACAAATCGGGGGAAAAATTATTTTTGTTAAATAAAATTCTGTCCAAAAAAACCAACTACGACTTTCAAACCAGGAAAGTAGTGGCTTTTTAAACCAACCCATGGTTTGGGGGCAAATCAACCTATGCTTTCACGGCCATGGTTTAAACAAAACCATCCATGGTTTTTGAAACAAACCAACCCATGGTTTGGGGGCAAATCAGCCTATGCTTTCACGACCATGGTTTAAACAAAACCACCCATGATTTTTGAAACAAACCCAGCATTAGGAGGGTAAAAATGATCGAGACTTGTAGGCGGTCTGAAACTCGTCTGTGGTCCGGGATGGGCCCGGTCCGTTTAGGTCTGGGCCCGAGCCCAACTCAAGCCCCTGGGTTTGGGTTTGGGTTTGGGCCACCCCTGGCCCAGACCTGTCAGAGGCCCTGTGTTTTTTTAAGTAAAAAATAATAAAATTTTGGTAAAAAAAATTAAAAAATAGTCAAGCCCGCCCAAGCTTGAGGCCAAGCCCAGGCCCATCGGGCCGGCCTGTCTAAGGCCCGAATACCCCTGGGCTTAATTTTTTGGCTCGTGAGTCGGCCTGGCCCGGCCCGAATCTTGGTGGGAGCCCGCGAGGCCTAACATGGGCGGGGCCGGGTCGGGTCGGGCTAAATTTACATCCCTACCTAGCATGGATTTAAACAAACTGGTGTGGGTGTTTGAGAAGTTGTTATTTTAGTAGGCTATTTTAGTTTTTGACTATTTTAATAGGCTAAAATTTTTATATTTAAGAAAATAGTTATATTTTTTTTATAGTTAGATGTGATGTCTGTAAGAAAAAAAGTGAAATGATTATGGATTTGATGTGATATTTTGTCTTATTAACTATTTTAGTTTATTTTATCATTTTATAAATTTTAATCCAAAAAAACCAAAAAAGCATTTGCCAAAACACTCCAGCAGCAACAACACTGCAGCAACTTTTCAACAAAGCAATTTTCATATTTTCATCTTTAAAATTTGATTTTTAAATTTTTTTTTGAATCATATAATTTATTTATCTTTTACACTATTTTAAAAAAATTAACTTTAAATTTATTTCTCAAAACTATTTTAAAAAAAACTAAAAAAATAATTTTTAATTTATTTCTCAAAATAATTCAAAAGTGGCTCTCCAAAGTCTTGGTCCTTTTGTCTAGCATACAATTATTATAAAGAGTTAGGTAGGATCTCAAATAATTTATTGATTTTTTATTATTTTATGTTGGTGTAATATTTACACACATATAAATTTGTATAAATCACAGTGATATAAAAAATTTGATAAAAAATTTAATGAACTTTCTGGGTCATAGCATTTTCCTATTATGAAACCTTTCTTTTGATACGATACATCTCAACTTGGGTCAAATTGGCAAAGCAAATTGCTATTTTGAGAGCTTACTTTGATTTGAATCCAGATAGCTAGCAAGTCACCATGGCTGTGCCATTTCTTCCATTTGTGCTTCAAAATCTTAACACCTTGATCCAAAATGAGGTGGGATTGCTTTAATGTGACTAAAAAAATTTTAAAAAAAAAAAAACCAAAGTTCCCAAAATGGGCCTTTCTTAATACTTTCGATTTTTCTTGCTCAGCTTACAACCAATAATTCACCAGTAGGTAATGAGTGGCTCTCCAAAGTCTTGGCCCCTCTGTCTAGCATACAATTATCACGAAACCTTTCTTCTGATACGATACATCTCAACTTGGGTCTAATTGGCAAAGCAAATTGCTATTTTGAGAGCTTACCTTGATTTGAATCCAGATAGCTAGCAAGTCACCATGGCTGTGCCATTTCTTCCATTTGTGCTTCAAAATCTTAACACCTTGATCCAAAATGAGGTGGGATTGCTTTCTGGAGTAAACAAGGAGATGAAAAAGCTTTCAAGCACTCTCTCCACCATCCAGGATGTCCTTGAAGATGCAGAGCAAAAGCAACTGCAAGACAAACATATACAGAATTGGTTGAAAGAGCTCAATGATGCAGCCTACGAGGCAGATGACATCTTGGATGAGTGCGCAACCGAAGCCCTCCAATGCGAATCAAAAGGCCAAGGTTATGGTTCTCTCAAGAAGGTAAGAACCTCTTTGTTAACTTGTTATCCTCTTCAGAATATTCTGTTTCGTCACAAAATAGGGAATAGAATAAAAGAGGTAACTGAGAAATTTGATGAAATTGCTGCTAAGCGTAAATTTCACTTGAACGTGGGAGATGTGGGGACTCGAGTTTTATATGATGAAAGCCGTGAAACCAGCTCCTTGATAACTCAGCCAGAACTCTATGGAAGAGGTGAAGAAAAAGAAGAGATTGTGACAGTTTTGGTTGAGAATGTACGTGATATCGATGCTGTTTCTGTGTATCCTATACTTGGTATAGGAGGGCTCGGAAAGACAACTCTCGCGCAAATGGTCTTTAACGATGACAGGGTGAAAGGCCACTTTGAACCTAAAATTTGGGTTTATGTTTCTCAGGATTTTAATTTGAAAAGGGTGATAAAAGAAACAATAAAATCTGCATCTGGAGAAGTTTCTCAAGACTTGGATCTTGGTTCTCTGCAGAGAACCCTTCAAGACAAGCTGAATGGGAGAAGGTACCTGATTGTATTCGATGATGTGTGGGACGAAGATCAAGAGAAGTGGGATGGGCTTAAGTATTTACTAGCATGTGGATCAAAAGGTGCTTCCGTTATCGTCACTACTCGTGTTGATAAGGTAGCATCAATCATGGGAACTATTTCAGCGCCTCGCTTGTCATTTTTATCCCAAGAAAATTGTTGGTTGTTGTTCAGGCAACGAGCATTTGGACGTGGAAATGAAGAACATCCAAACCTTGTGGCCATCGGGAAGGAGATAGTGAAGAAGTGTGGCGGTGTGCCTTTAGCTGCGAAGGCCCTCGGAGGGCTAATGCGCTTCAAAAGTCAGGAAAAAGAGTGGCTTCATGTTAAGGAAAGTGAAGTTTGGAACTTACCTGAGGACAAAAATTCCGTCTTGCCTGCCTTAAGATTAAGTTACTTTTATCTTCCATTGGAATCAAGAAAATGTTTTGCTTATTGTGCCATTTTCCCAAAGGGTTCTGAAATTCGAAAGAGAGACCTAATTCATCTTTGGATGGCTAATGGCTATATTTCATGCAAAGGAGGATGGGAACCAGAAGATATTGGTGATCAGATTTGGAATGAATTATGTTTGATATCTTTTTTCCAAGTGGTGAAGAACTATAAAGCCAACATATGTTTCGAGATGCATGATCTTGTGCACGATCTTGCCCAATCAATTATGAAAGATGAATGTGAAATGATCGAGTTTAACAGTTCAAGTAATATATCCAATGAAAAAGTTCGTCATGTAACGTTGGTTGTTGGGCCTGGGGAAAATTTTAATAAGACATTTCGCAAAGTTGAATCCTTACGGACATTACGACTGCAATGTCCACGAACTTTCTCATTAGAAGATGACGAGTTTTTGTGTGATCTCAGAAAGTTTGGTTCACTGCGAGCTTTTGATGCAGCAGCTAGAGGAATGAAGGAGTTGCCATCTTCAATTGGCAACTTAAAACATCTGAGGTATTTGAACCTTTACTATGGTCTTATCAATCAACTTCCTGATTCAATTTGCAGTCTCTTGAATTTGCAAACATTAATTCTAGACTACTGTGAGGATCTTGAGAGATTGCCCCAGAACATGATGTACCTGAGAAGTCTCCGACATCTTTATCTGTTAAATTGCCCGTTAATTGAGATGCCCCCAAAAATTGGGCAGCTAACTAACCTGAAGACATTAACTGAATTTGTTGTGGGTAAGAGCACTGATTGTAGTCTCCTAGCTGAATTGAAATGCTTAAACCTTGGAGGACAACTTTGTATCAAGCACCTTGAGAGAGTGAGCTATCCGTTGGATGGAAAAGAAGCCATTTTAGTGGGAAAGCAAAATCTTAGTCAGTTGCAACTAATTTGGGAATATGGTTTGGCTGAGTGTGAGTCACAAGAAAATGTTGAATCTGAAGCACAGGAAAATGTTAAATCTGAACTAGTACTTGAAGCCCTTCAACCTCATCCAAACCTAAAGGAGTTGGGCATAACAGGGTATGAAGGTACTCGATTCCCGCTCTGGATGAGGGGTTCATGTCTTCAAAATGTAGTTAAAATCGAGCTCTCCCGGTGCAACTGCTTACAACTTCCACCGCTTGGACAACTACCTTTGCTACAAAGCCTTCGAATTCATGAAATGGATAAAGTAGTGGAGTGTATTGAAAACGAATATCCTTGCGGTCGAGGATTCCCATCTTTGGAAGAACTCGATGTTTACAATTGTCCGAAATTGGACGGTTTGTCAAGGGACGAGGGAAGAGAGTTGTTCCCTCGTCTTCGTATGATAGCAATTGGTTATTGTCCTAAATTGAGCTTCCCGCATCTTTCGTCTCCCAAAGAATTGTTTTTGAGGGGCAAGTGCACCATGGTACTAAATTCAATATCAAATCTTAATAGTCTCACTTCCCTTGCTATTGTTGATGATAAAGAGACGGTTTGTTTTCCAAAAGAGTTTCTGAGGAATCTTACTCTTCTTGAGTCACTATTGATTTCGGATTGGCGAGAGCTTAAAGTGTTGCCTGAGGAACTTGCAAGCCTTGTCAGATTGAAGTCATTGACGATCGAAAAATGTCGAAAGCTTGAGTCTTTGCCAGAGGAAGTGCTAGGAGGCCTTGAATCTCTTCAATCGTTGTGCATTTATAGATGCACGAAGATTACATCGCTTCCGGCGAGTATTCAAAGCCTTACCAAACTCCAACGCATACAAATTAACTTTTGCAGTCGTGAACTGGAAAGGCGATGTGAGAAGGGAAAGGGGAAGGATTGGTATAAGATCGCGCACATACCAGAAGTCTCTATTGATAAGGTATATGATTCTTCTTTTGCTCGCCGTATTACTAATACAAGTTGGTTTACAGCTGTGACACATTAATAAATAGTCAAGGGGTAACCCACTTATAAACGAATAATTTTTTAAAAAAATCAACCAAATAATAAAGAGTAATGATTGAGACCCTCATATTCATAAAATCTTCACAAATCGGGACCACTCATGATGTGGACTCCACATATACATGAGTGAGCTCCACACATACATGGAGGGCCAGGATAACTTTGCGGATGTGAGGGTCATCCCCAAAGGGGGTCCCAAACATTTTCCAATAATATATTAACTTTCACCTTAACATCTGTTTGGCATGTCCATTTGGGCTAAAATAGTCATATATGACAAAATTGACTATTTTAGCTAAATAAGATAAAATGTCACATCAAAATCATAATTATTTCATTTTTTTTGTCACAAGAGTCTAAAAAATCAAAAAGCCTATCACAAACAAAGCTTTGTAGCCCCAGGCTAAAATAGCCAAAGAGCCAAAAAGCCAAAAAATCAAACCATATCCCAAACGAAAGCTTAATCTGTTCAGTATCTAAATTTGAATTTGTATATTTTCTCTAATTCGTAAAAGTTATTAAACAAATTAATCTCAATTTGATTGAGATTTTAACAATAAGGCTCCGTTTATTCTGTTATAAAATATTTTTTCATGTAAGGTGATTTTGTCCAAAAAGAAATTTTTATTTTTGGATATTTGGTTATCACTAAAATATTTTCTACAATAAAAATATTAATGAAGAACAAATTATAGAGTAAACTTTAAAAAGAAGAAGAATAAATAAAAGTAATATTCATATATATAATTTTCGTATAGAATTAAATATAAATGATGTGGCAACAATACTCTTACAATTATGAATTATAATAATGAAAATTTTGATTTTTATTGTGTGAATATAATGTAACATACCATTATATATAGATTTTCTGTACACAAATTATGTTTGTATATCATTATTCAAGGGATAAAAAACAGTTTTAATCCTTAGAGTAGGAGTTTTTTGTTATTTTTGTCTTTCAACCTTCAATTTTGTGATTTTGATCCTCAAAGTTGTCAATTTGCGTAAATTTAGTCTTATCTCTATCTTCCATTTACATTGATAATGGGATGTAAAAGACAACTTTGGTCCTAAAGTATGCATTTGTTGTCATTTTAATTCCTCAAATTTTAAATTTTGTCATTTTGATCCTCAAAGTTGTTAATTTAAACTATGACTAAATTGACAACTTTAAAGACCAAAATGACAAAATTCAAAACTTGAGGGACTAAAATGACGATAAACGAATATTTTAAAGATCAAAACCATCTTTCATTCATATTCTTGTTATCAATGTAGCCGGATGTTAGACTTAAGATCAAATGGACTCAAATTGGTAACTTTGAGGGTAAAATGACCAAATTAAAACTTAAGGAACTAAAATGAAAAACAACGCATAATTTAGGGACTAAAACTATCTTTTATCTTATTCAAGAATAAAATAAGACAAGGATTGAATATAACAAAATAATTTCGATCAATTGCTCAACCATAATATAAGTAGATATATATACATATATGTATGTAGAGAGAGAGAGAAAGGGCACAAAGACATTCTGAAAACAATGAGACTTGATATATACGTCTAATAGTATAGACCGTGATATTTTACAGCAAAATAAACCTATCCTAAGACATTGGGTGTAATAATGCACCAGGACTTGTGTTTTGAATAGTACCTCTCCTGATAAAATTTGTCATAAAATTGATTAGGCTTGACATGTTTCGCAAGATTCATAATATGAACTTCAATTTCTATTGTCAATCACAATTACTGGTTAAAAATAGTTACTCATTTTCTTTTAATTGTTTTTTGTGTTTTTTAAAGAAAGTTTGCCCAAAGAAAATTTTCACATTCAAGTGTATCCGAACTACTTGAATTGAAAGAACTTATTTAATGATTGGTTTATTCAGTTTTAAACCTGGCCTTACGTTAGCAAAATCTTAGCTACATTTTCTTCTTCCAAGCTTCTTTCCATCAATATCATCGACTGCTTCTTTAGCTTTTTTATAGCTCTCATCGTCTCAACTATTATGTTTCATCAGTAATGCATACATACATAGTTTGTGAGAACAATCGCTTTGAAATGATGGTCAGCATATCTAACCTTTAGCTAGTTCATATAAAGAAGGACAAATAAATGTAACAAATTATTTGAATAAGGCAAATCATTTGTTTTTTTGAACACGATTATGTTTGAAGAACATAAATCATTTATATATCTTTAACCAAAGTTATCTAAGATGGTCTATTCTGATTGGTTTTGCTTCAAAATGGCCTTAGAAGCATAAATGTCTAAAGTTTACTTTCTATGCTAACGGTATGAATTTGTGGTTACCTATGACAGGCTTGGTTCCCATGATCTCGAGAGCTCATTGAGTCCTCCATGATTCAGAGATTGTACGTTTTATCTTTATAGGTTTTTGTTTTCTTGTCTTTCTCATTGGAGGTAATATTATTGCTTTTGTGATAGCAGGTGCTGCCATGCTCTTGGGTCATGATGGCTGCTGCTAGTATTTAAGTGGCCGTGGCATCGGATGCATTGTTGGTGGGAAGGTTTTGGGCTGTTTATAGGTTGGAGGCTATCTAATAGGAGGTGGATCGTGTCAGTTGTTTTGTTATCTGACTCTATTGTGTTAGTTTCTCTTTTGCAAAATAGAGGTTAAATACTGACCTTATTTGTCATTGTGTAATAATGTTAATGGCAGTGGATACTGGAAGCTCTAGCCTGCTATATGACCTTTTTTTGTGCTTTTTATCGTTTGCGATGATTTGGTGATTAATTTCTGCGTATAATTATTTGTGAGAATGTTAATTTTGAAGTCTTTTACTTCTGTCATGAGTTTTGTGTGGATTATAGCTTGCATAAACTCTACAAATTAATTGTCAGAGTGTTTATGGAACTCCACGTGGAACACTTTTTGATGAAATGTTTGTTAGGGGGGCGACCGCCAATGTTCCAATGCCAAGTTGGTAGTGACCTATTTCAAGGCTCAGACTTGCTGTTATAACGAAGAAGGATGACATTAACACGATTTAGCTAAAATGGGAACCCCCTCTGGGATTTTGAAAGCTATAAATGTCTAAATTGACATGAACTCATAAGCTTCCGTGTCTCTCAAAGGATAATAGAAACTCTGCACAGCATTGAAAATATCTAAAATCAAGGAATAAACATTGGCCCTGAGAAATTTCCTTTCATGTGAGCCCTCTCCATACACCAATTGGTCATGTAAACAATGCAACAAGCTAGTATTTATATTGGTACCAAAATCAAGGATTAATGAATAGGACACAAACTATTTGAAAAAAAAAAAAAAAAATAATAATAGAAACTCTGTATTCATCTTGCACCTAAACAACAAAATTTTCAATTTTCACACTGAAATTAACAAACAAATGCTAAATGTAGTTTTAAATCTCCCCTAGAATGTACATATGAGCTAAATTTTCATGGTGTCCACTGATCTGTATGGGGAACAACATGGTAAACACAACATCGCTAACCTAGAAACTCTCATTCTTTAAACCATAGCATACATACAAATATATATATATAGTTAGAGCAATGATAGAGAGCTCTAATTTTGGAGCTCTAAAGAGAGCTCTAGTGATGTGGCAAAAGAAAAGAAAAGAAAAGAAAAGAAAAAACATTGGCACACATCACATCACATATGGGCTTGTTTGTACCTATTTTTGCCAAGTCCCGTTGACAGGTGGTCCAGTTAGTGGAGGACACGTGGCCAAGTCTAGAGGGAATGTCCAGGATTAGAAGATCAAGACCAACAGTTGAAAGTGGGTTTTTTGCATGTGGGTCAACTAGAAGTGATGGAGCAGTTATTGGCAGCAGTCATGGAGTTAGTGGTCAACCTTTCAAGAGGGGGCATGAGGCAAAATGCAAGTGTCTCTCTATCAAAGGAAGGTCAAAAGGATTTAGGGGCACGTGTTAACTTAAGGGGAATGAAGATTGATAGGTAAAAGTGAAGACTTGATGCAGTTTGAAGTTGGGAAAGTAGGGATGCAGTTGCGGCAGTTACACAACAGCAGTTATGGATTGAGGAGATTATGGGGACATAGAAGAGAAGAAGTATAAAGGCCAGAGATTCGCAGAAATAAAGGACATCAACAACATAACAGCTTAGCTTTTAGACTTAGGAGTAGTTGAGATTGTAATCTAGGAGTAGTGTTGATCATTGTAATCTGTACTTGTTGAGTGAACATAGGTGATTTCAGTATGAAATTGCTTATATTTATTTAATCTACCTTGTTACCATCCGTTGATACAACAATTTGAAGTTGCTTTCTTTTATCTAATCTACGTTGTTACCATCTATTGATCAAGGAAGTTTGTTTTCTCCCTTGTTTACTTTGTTGTCATCAATTGATCCAAAGAAGTCCTCATTTTCTTGAGGCATTTGAACCAAGACCATAGTTGCTTGGTTGCTTCTATTTAAGTTGTGTAGCTTGAATTACTACTTAGTTGTTGTCGATCCATTATATGGCCAAAAGGGTGTAGGAGACGAAGATTTGTTTAACATAGAATTTAATGGTTATCCTAACATGAGGCCAAGAAATGATCTGGGCTTTGAAAATTACAATCAAGGTTTTGGGAATCAAAATGTTGGATATAATATGGGTTATGGACGCCAAGGTGTAAATAATGGTGGTAATATGGGGGCATACCCTGAAATGCACAGGCCTAACATGTATCATGAACCATTTGGTAATGGTCCAGGGCTAAGAGGTCGAGCACCCCCTTTACTTGTCGACATGCATGAATTTCTTGAGAAAAATTATGGGTATGGAGGGCAAAATGCTGTTAATCATGGTGAAAATCTTCAAAGAGACCAGATTATTCAAATTATAAATGGCATAATACTTTTAGACATTGTGTAACTTTCAGAAATTGTGTACAGGACTTGATACAGAAGGGTCTGTTGAAATATGCAGAGAAGAAAAAGGGGGTTATGGCAGTCGACAGCAATCCCTTTCCAGAAATGGCACCAATCCATATGGTGTCAACTAGCATTAAAAGGAAGACACCAAACCCAACTGTTCTGTTGTTTGACTTGGAGAGGATTCACAAAGAGAAGCAGGAAAGGGAAAGAAAGTGATTGATGAGGACAAGTTTGTGTGCTCAAGATATGGGACTGAAAAGGAAAAATTGCAAGCAATTTTAGCTGACAAGTTGAAAGAGATTGCTAAGGATCATGGCTTAAGGTTTAATACCTTAGGAGGTGGTGACCTTCAAATTTTCAATGGAGACAATGGGCAGGACCCTGAGATTTTTGGGCCTGTTGACAGGTCATATGGTGAGGAGGATGGTCCATTTTTGTTCAGGTGGCAACCCGTGTACCCTTCTTTTCATGGTATAGAAGGGGTCAGAGTTAAAGTAAGACAGTTGAAAGATCAAAGGCCATCTAGTGGCCCTAGTTATGTTCAAAAACCAGTATTTATGCCAAGACCATTTCAAAGGCCATTCAGTGGCCAGGGTCAAAGGTTTTTTAGGCCAGAACAGTTTCATGGCCAAGGGGTGAGGTTTCCACAGGTTTATTCCCCAATGCAGCCACGGATGGTGAAGCCACCAGTGCCTACACATGCTGGTTGGCAAGGGTTAGTTCATCCAAAATTTTCTTTGTCAGGATGAAAGCCTATGGGCCCAACTAGGACTCAAGTAAGAAGGGAGCAAAGAAAGTTTCATGCTATGTTTTCAACAAAGGAGGGAGATAATCCAAAGAGAGATGACTGAAACGATTTTGTTTGGAAGAGAGAGAAGAATAAGGAAGAGTGTGGTGAGTCAAGCAAAGATAGAGAAGGTAGTAGATAAGATACCTAAAAAGATGCTTCTTAGGAGGCAATTAGAGGAAATATCTAAAGCACTCTTGTTAAATGAGGAGAGTGAGGAGGATGAGGTAATGACTGATAGGAATGTTGTGGCAGGCGCAAATTAGATGAAGTTCCTGTCGACAGTAAGGAAGGCACAAGAGAAAATACAAAGTCTAAGAGTTTTGGAGAATTTAGTGAGAAGGTGGAGGAAATTAGGTTTGGTTCTTTGCCATCAAAGATTGATTGTAATATGATATTGGCTTTACCAAAAAGATTTGAAGTAAGGGCAGTTAGAACAATTGGAAGGAGATGTGGAAGACTTGTCAGAGCTAGCTGTGATAGTAACAGAGATGGATGAGTCTAAAAAAGAGGTTGGTAAGTCTATTTAGGTGGTTAAAACTAGTAGTGGTGAGAAGGTGGTACTCCAGTCACCTAAGCCAGAATTGGTAAGGCATCTGAGGCCTTTGTATGTGAGTGTGCACTTGAATGGTTGTCCTATGACCAAGGTGTTAATTGATAATGGGGCTATTGTAAATATTTTACCCACCATAATTTTAAGTGTGATTGGTAAAACTGTTGATGATTTAATCCCTTCTGATGTATCTATGAGTGATTTCTCAAGTGGGTCTTCTAATACAAGAGGAGTGATTGCCTTGTAGTTGCAAATAGGAGCCAGAGTGATGGGGGCAACATTCTTTGTGATTGCCTCTACCTCAAATTATAACCTGCTACTGGGAAGTGATTGGATTCATTTTAATGGCTGTGTGCCCTCTTCCTTTCATCAGGCTTTGATTTTCTTAATTATGGTAGGTTAGGACGGACAAAGCATGGAGGTTTTTTGGGCAGAGGCAAATCCCTTTGAGGAAGATATTCACAATGTAGACGCTATGCTGTATGCTGAAGAATTTATCCCTGTTGTGCTAGAAAATGAAGAACTGAAATCCAGAGGAATTGTGTTAACGTATGATCAGTTCCAGAAATTTGTTGATGAGGGTTTTTTGACAGATGAGCCAGGAAGTAGCTAGGCCAAATGTCTTGCAAACCAGGCCTGCAGATGAAGTGATGATTGAAGACATTACCAATGAAGATGAAGAAAAGTGAGAATGAATATGATTCTGATGTAATTAAAAGTACTTTTGCTAGACTTTTTTTTTTTTAGAAAGAAAGTTAGGTGGTATGTTGCCCCACTGTTTTTGGACAGAATGTGTAGTAGATGATAGCCCTCTAGATTATAAAGAGGTGCAGTATGAGAATCTAAAGGCAGCCCCTGCAAAGCTTGATGATCTCAAAGCTGATGTGCAGGACCCTTTAGAGGAGTTTAACTTAAGAAATAAGGCCTGTAAGAGGCCTATTTATGTAAATGCTTTATTACCTAATGAATATAAGTCAAGTTAGTTGGCTTGATTTCAGATTATTCTGATTGTTTTGCATGGAGTTATGATGAAATGCTAGGACTGGATAGGACCTTGGTTGAACACAAATTACCAATAAAATCAAATTATGTGCCATATAAGCAACCTCCAAGAAGAATGACAAATGCGGTTACTGTGAGAACCCGAATATACAAATCAAATAAATAATTAAGTAATAATTATTTTACAATCTCAAATATTTTGCTTGTGAATCTTTAAGTGCAAACTAAATATTATTGGAGGGTCTTTTAATTAATTTTAAAACCTAAAATAAATTTATGGTGAAAGTTTTTAATTTGGAGGCAATATTTATTATTTAAAAAAAAATAAATAAGTGACAAATTAGTAAACATATTTTGATCTAATAATATTTGTATTTTATTTAAATAAATGGAGAGAGAAAATAAATTAAAACAAAAGATAATATTTTAGGGCATTTTGTTTAGATACATAATGTTACCCTAGGTTGCTTAATGCAATATAGCAGCAGCAGCCTAGCAACGTGAGAGTCAGGGAGA